AAAAAAAATACAAATAAATAAATAAATAAATAAATAAAAAAGAAAAAATAACTAAATTTTATCAACTTTAGTGGTTGAGTACTTTAGTGCCATTCTGTTTTCAAAGGACATGAAGGGTATTTGATTTTAAAAGAAGTAGATACTACAAAGATAAAAAGTATAAATTATTGGATCTTGAAAAAGAGGAACTTACAGAAAATGAGTGACCGAATTCTTGTCAAAAACATGTGGGAATGGCAACCTAACTTTAAGATACTGAGACATTCTAAATTGTTAATCACCTTAACAAAAATGGAAACCTGGTACCCTTCATGAGATCCAACTCAACCAGAATTGAACAGGAGCCCCTTATGTTGACGTGCCATCAGCCAGTGACACGGAGCTTACTGATTCATGGCTGCAGTCAGAAATGATGAGCCCCTCTGTCAGACACTTGTGACTCTATAAATATGTTCTTGTTACCAGAGCAATGTTGATACCCATAAAGACAGACACTGGGGGTAACCATCTACATCCCTAAAAACATGGAAGGCAACGTGGTCTGCGGCCCCACCCTGAGTGACTGGTAGAGACTGGTAGAGACTGCATGTGATGCTGCAGCCCCACTGATGAGAACTCATCTCAACACAACCATCCAGCAGCACCTGACAAGTGGCAAGCCTACCGTGGCCTTAACTCTGCTTGGATACTGGTTTCCTAGATTTAAGGGTAGCTTGTCTGGTTTTGTATGCTTATATGAAAAGCTTGGTTCCCTCTTATACTTGTGAGGCAGTGTCTAAGTAAACATTTTTAGGGCCTCTGGACATGAGGAAATGCTTGAGCTACTGAAATTGTAACCATGTGAAATGTCTTCCTGTGGTTTTGGATCTCTGATCCTATTCTGCTTTACTTAATCACAAGGGTTTCATCATTTTAGGATATTAAATGAAAAAGTCATTCTTCTAGTTGTAGTATATGTAGTAACGTGGGATAATCTCTCCTGGTAGTGACATCATGATAATAATGCTTGATATTTATGTCTCATTTTATACTATATTAGTGAACTAGCTTTATGTGTCCTGATTATGAAAGTAATACAGACATTTTGTATTTTTTTCAAGGAACTTTAAAGTCTTTATTTCATCAGATCCTTACAATAAATAACACCATGAAATCCAAAAGTTAACATGACTTACCCAGCACCTCTCTGGGTAGTGGTTACCTAGAGTCCAGTTTTAGTCAGTGGTTAGCTGGACTAGAATCTAGTTTCTTTAGTGCCTACTCTAATTCTTTCTCCACTATACAATACTGCTATAGCTACAAAAATCTGAGTTGATAATTTCAGGTTATCAACTATAAACCTAAATTTAATGGAGGGTTAGTAGATTTTGTTCTCAGTGTTGGTTCAGGAAAAGCTAGCCTTATGGAAAAATTCCACAGTTCCCACAAGTTATATTTGGAGAGCTGAGCCTTTCTTTTACTTGGTGTCTTTGTACATTCTCTAAAGTAGGCTGTAAAACATGCTTTCATAAAAATATCATAAACTCAAGACTTCCTTTAGGAATATCTTTGGCATAGTTTCAGGTTAATGAAGTTTTCAGGGGGTAGACTTTTTTCTTAGTATTATCACTGTGAGAACAGCTACAGGTCTCAGGGACAGAAACATGTTGTTGATCATTTTTCAGAGGTAGTTCTGAAGTCCACAACTAGAGAGAGATTTGGGAATGTGCAGGGAACTCCTAGCCAATGAATCCATGGATTTCTAGTTTTCGGAACTGCTGTGGATTGAATTGTGTCCCCTCAAAGTTTCATATGTTGGAGGCATGGTCCCTACCGCAACAGTGTTAAGAGGGTGAGAAGTCCTATTATGGTAATTGAGAGGTGGGGCCTTGAAGAGGTGATCATATTGTTAGGACCCTGCCACATGGCTCGAGGGCTTTAAAAGAAGAGCACGTGAGAAGTTCTCTCTCTCTGCTCTGCCATTTCTGCCATGTGAGACCCCTAGGTCACTGTCGCCACCACCAAGACCCTCACCAGATGTGTTCCCTGGACTTGGACTTCCCAGCCTCTGAAACTGTAAGCAGTAAATTCCGTTTTCTTACAAAGTACCGAGGTTCCAAGTATTTTGTTATAAGCAACAGAAACAGACTAATACAGGTATGCTACATTTTGCAGCAAATAAACAGGAAGTTGATCTTATAGCAAATCCAACAGTGCTGAGCAGAGGAACCGCAGCTAACAAGCATGCTTTATACAGGAATGATGAAAGGAGTGGTTCTCAGACATTGGTGAACTTACTAATCTATTTGCTAAATTCAAAAAAGTTCCACAAATGGTCTACAGCAACCTCTAAGATTCTAATTTCATGCATGGTATTAGAGCTTTATTGCAAACATTTGAGAAATTTTTTTTACCCCCTGGGATGTTTTCCCCTTTTGAAGTTTAGCTCAAAAGGGAAATGTCAAAAAATAATTAGGAGAAACAAAAAATGACTGAAAGGACAGGCAATAATTACTCAAAAAACACTTGGACATGCCTCATGACTGGCATGTTTTCTCATTCTTGTAAAATACCAGGCATATGTGCAGAGGCCTCAGGTCCCACCTTGGTGAGGTCCTTGTACAGCTCTGGGTATAGCAGCGCCATCTCTGGCTTCACATCTTGATCCAGCACTAAGGAGAACACTGGGAACATAGTGTATATAGTTGCATACCTTAAAAACCAGGAAGAAAATTAAATCAGTCTGAGAAAATTATAATACAACTATGAACATGCCTCTAGAATTAGAGGTCAAAGTTTCCAGAAACAAACTGAAAAACCTCACAAAAAAACAAAAAGAACCAAGTTGGCAACCTAGTAAGATTATTCTTGGAAACTAAATATTTACTCCACAACACAGTAACATGTTCCATAAGCCACAGATGCTTACAGGTAGCAGTATCCATTAAAACGTTTTTTTTAACTAAACCTCTTACTAGAGATCATTGCAGACTCACATGCAGTTGTCAGGAAAAACACAGAGATCCCTCACACCCTTTAACCAGTTTCCCCCAGTGGTAACAACTTTAAACTTCAAAACCATAGTATAAATCTTACCACCAGGACAGGGGCACGGACACAATCCAGATGCGCGTGCCCATCACCAGAGAGACCCCCCTGCCGCCTTTCATCTCCTTGATGGCTTTCCATCGCCCCCCCTCTCCCCTGAAAACCATGCATCTGTTCTCATCCCTAAGACTTTGTCATTTAAGATTATGACAGAAGTGGCTTTTACAGCAGGGACTGCAGCCTCGGCTTCCCACTCATCACACCACTCTAAGGAGCGCCGGCTGCTGCGTGTGAGCATTGCTCGTCTCTTCTCGTGGCTGGGCAGCACCTCGAGGGGCAGATGAACCATGGTTTGCCCATCTATTCATTCACGGAAGTCCCTCTGGGTTATTCCCACTTTGGGGTTGTTACAAATAAAACTGCTATAAACATTCATTGCACACTCATTTTGGACAGAAGAGCCAACCAGGACGTGGCCAGGAGAACAACTGCTGGGTCATGTGGTGGTGGCATGTTTCATTTTTTCTTAAAGAAACTGCCAAAATGTTTTTCAGACTGTAGGATTTACATTCCTACTAGCAATACAGGAGCTATTCAGTTTCTCTAAATCTTTACCTTGTTATCTCCAGGCAGTGGTGGGAGTCTAGAGCCCACTGCCTGGGGGGCTCACTACTGCCTTGGGAAGGGAGTCCTGGCTCCCCCCTCGGCTGCCCTGGAGAGGTGCTGGGGCCTTATTACAGTCACATGAGGATAGACATGTAGGCCCACTCCCGGCCTTTCTGAGGAGGCAGGGGGGGAGGGGGCAGCTTTTTGTTTGGCGTTTGGCTGGAGTAGAGTGATTACTGTCTAAAGCTGTCTGTCTTGCCCAGATGCCCTCTCCTGGTCCTTTGGCCAGAAAGAAGGAGACTGGTACTGGGACTTTGGGACTTTTTTGCTTCTGTACCGTCGATGTTTCCAGGTTGCTGCGTCTTCAGCAGGAGCGACCCAGGGAGTGCACTGTAGTGGCACCCCCCGGGGCAAGGCACCTCCCTGCCGGCCTTCCCTCCCACGTGCAGTCTTCTGTGTGCTCTGTGTGGTGCCCAGGGTTCCCAGTCGTCCTCAGCAGCAGAACAGGAAAATCACATTCCCTCATCTTCCCAGAAGTGGGGCTGGGTTTTTTTAATGGCATTTTCACCTGTGAGAAAGCATTCACGTTGGGAAGATGGTCCATTGGCAGAGGACATTTAAGCTTTGTGAAACGTGAATGCCTGAAGGCTGCGTTCTGCTTTAACATGGCTGAGATTCCACCATCACTGAATGCAGGCTGTTCTATTCTTGAACAATTGTGGTTTATATATAAAATATTCTTTCACGTGAACTTTTCAGTCTACTTCATATCATCTGTACCCTTGGTGAATTACTACTGGGCAGAAATCTTAAACTAAATATCTATATGCTTCAGAGTACTTTATCGACAAAGTCAACCTTTAATTTCTTTATTAGGTTTAAATTTTCCTCCAAATCTTTAAGCACTTTTGTAATTTTCTTAGAAATTCCCACTCCCCTTAGAATTTAGGAACTTAATGGCCAAATAATTCAAGAAGAGCCCAGCACTGGGGAGGACATCAGCGGCCCCATGTCGCTTGCGGTGCGTGAGAATCAGTCCCACAAGTGGTCGGGGTGAAAGGTCGCTCAGGCGCTCAACTGCAGCCACTACCATCACCAGGAGGTCCCTGGTTTTGTACAGCGCATGGATGAGAACACTTTCTTTATGTCTTTCTTTATGCCAGACCTTTCCCTAGATTTTCAGCCTTTCAAAAGCTCATTGCCACACTGTTTTAAGCCCGCACTCTTGATGTTCAACTTTATGTGCAGTTTGATGAGACTGTGTACTGTGACTTCTACCACGGCCATGACACAGAAATCTGCACCACCGTGGAAGGGAAAGCCCCCTTGTGGGCCCGTGGCAGGTGGGAGACGGGCTGCCTGCTGTCGCTGCCACGAGGCTCGTCCCATCTGAAGCCCCGTGGACGTGGCAGCGCACAGCCCAGACTCTCGCATCAAGCTGTGTTCTCGGGGCATCACGTTGTTGAGATTCCTCACCCTTGCTGTGTGTGTCCTTCTTTCTCTGTAGTGCTGAGTGGCATTTCACTGGGTGGATGTAATGCAGTAGGTTCTTACATCCATCAGCTGATGGACATTTGGGTTTTTCCAGTCTTTGGTTATCATAAATAAAGCTATGAACATCCGTGTACAAGTCTGTGTGTAGAGGGGGGGTGTTCTCATTTCTCCTTGGTAAACACTGAGGAACAGGATTGCTAGATCATATAAGCGTATGTGTAATTTCATAAAAACTTCTGGAATAGCTTTGGTACTCTGTGCTCCTACCAGCAACACTGAGCTCCAGCAACTCCGCATTGCTGCCAGCACTGGCACTACCAGTCTTTGCAGCTTGACCTCTGTCGTGGCATCTCACTGTGGTCTAAGTATTTATTACCTCATGGCTAATCATGTTAAACATATTTTCATGTGCTTACTGGCCATTCTTATATCTCCCTTTGTGATGTTCGTTTAAATCTTTAGCCTTTTTTAAAACACTGAGTCTGTCGTCCTATCACTGAGTTGATCATTAAAATTATAAAGCTTTTGTCAGATAAATGTACCAAAAACATTTGCTCCCTGTCTACCTTTTCATTTGATTACTATTGTCTTCAGAAAAGCAAAACATTTTAATCTTGATGAAGTCCATCTTGTCAATTTTTTCTTTAATGATTCGTACTTTTTGTGCCTAAGAAATCTTTCCTACTAAGGTTCTAGGCTTTTTGGCTGTTGACTCCAGATGTCTCAGAGTTGCTTCCCTTCTGAGGTGCCTCAGTCCTTACTGCCTGTTGTCCAATATCTGAAAACACGTACTTGATCCTGCTTTCCAGTTGACTGGGTGGGGAGGATAAATCTGTTGTCTGCTATTCCAGTCGTGGTCAGAAATGTAAGTCCCCAGGACCCTTCTGATCCACCTGAGCCGAGGCTCTTCAGGCTCCGGACAGGGCTCCCTGCACCACACTCTGGCCCTGCCCCCCCAGGGCCACGAGCCAGTCTCCCAGTGCTGCTCACCTTCTCGGGTGCTCAGTGAAGATACTGCCTCGTAGTTTCAGCAAGCACATTCTCGGGCTCTCTATCTGAGTCACTAGCAAGGACAGAAAGTAAATCCACGCCCAGGGAAGAGTGCTGGGGTGGCACTGTGAGTGGGTCCTCCTGGAAAGCTGCCCATTACACCTCTCAGAGCCTCTAACTGCCAATGTGCGTGGAGCACTTCCAAGAGGGGCTCGACCGCAGCGGCTCCTGAGAGGACCATGCAGGGAGCACTCTGCTGGAGGGCACCATGTATGACCAGGCCCGTCCCTGCCACACTCCTGGCTCTGTCCTGCACGCGGGCACATGCCTCCTCCTCCCGGCCTCCCTCTACCTCTCTTGCCTCATTAAAGTCAAAAACAAGACCATGAAATTTGTGTAATTAAATTCTATCAATTGTCTTCTAGTTTCTAGAGCCAGTTTTTCTGTCACAGAAAAACACTGGTTTGGTTAGATTTTATTTTATAAAAATATGATGTTGTTTCTTGCTCAGTTCTCAGTATTTATTTTCTAGGTGAAGGCAAACTGATTTTATTATTTATTTTCAAAGAAGCTTAACTTAAAAGCATCTCCCCTCCATTCTCCCACCTACCAACTTCAGGGTACTAATGCTTAAGAAAATTACAGACGCCTCATGAAAGTGACGGACACTCAGAGTAACTTTACATGAAACCCAATATAAATAAAAACGTCTGAACGACGAGATGTGTGTGCAGAAGAGGGTCTTACTGCAGAGGGAGGCGTCAAGTCTAGCACACAGGTGTGATTCCATTAACTCGGCAATTATTCTTTAAGGAGTGATCACCACAGTCCCTTACGTTTCCCTTTTAATATTTCAACTCTGTAATTTTTAAAATGTGAAAGAAAGTGAGAATGGTTATGCTCTTCTTTGACCTCCAAGGAAGACATGCACTGTTCAAACTCAAGATGTAATTAGTGTTACTGTGCAAATTCTGTACTACTTGATGGCAGTTAATGTAATAATTGTCACAAATATATAAGCAACAGAAAAACTTACACAAAAGAGCAATGGCTTTTTGTTCCTTTAAGATTTTCCACCTTTTTTTGAAGCCCTATAAGAAATACTATTGGAATCAATGGAAAGCTGAGAATGTCGGGACAAATTCTGCCATGATTTCCACTAATTATGTGGGCTATGACTTGGCAGATTGCTGGGCACATACTTCAGTCATGTAGAAACACAAAACAAGACCCCAACCGCTGCCATATGAAGGTCATCTGTGACGTGACCTGTGTGTCTCACACCTTGGGCTGGGGAGCCTCAGGTGGCCAAGATGACCCAATGCCAACAAGAGAGTTTCCTTATACACCACAAAAAGATTTACTATTGAGAAAGCTTTGGGGGAAGGCTGATCATAATTACATTTACCTATGTGATTATATCAAGAAGGGGTCTAAAAAGTAGGCACTTTTGCCAAGATGAAGGGCTAGGGGATGAGAGAAGACTTAAAACACATGCATGGATCTATTTTAAGCTTTTAACTGCTTTATTCAAAGTCATTGTTAAGACCACAGAACAGGATACTGACACACAGGGAGAAACAGTGTTAACACAGGCGGGTGAAGGATGTGGCATCAGTAGCAAATGCCACCAGAGTTGGAGAAGCTGAGTGACCCACAGCCCGCTGTCTTGAGGATAGGGAGGCCCTGGGATCCCTCAAAGCTTGGCTCCTCCTCAGGGACAGGTGATTCATTTGTACTGAAGGTCCACTCTGTGACAGACCTTAATGGTAGACACGAGGACCTGATAGTAGATGCAGAAGAATGGGACGCAAACCCGTAAACAGGACACTGCGACCTGGCAATGTGGAGGCATGCCGTGGGGGTCGAGGAGCCTCCTGGGCTGAGGCAAGGACATGGGGGCCACTGGTAGTAGTTAAGGACATGGGGGCCACTGGTAGTAGTTTGGGCAAAGGCAGCAGGGAGCATCGTGCAAGGAGACCAGAGGACAGGGAAAGCCTGGAAGACTAGGGGAGTGAAGGAAGCGTGCCCTTGGACTGCAGGGAACCCACATCCAGCACTGGCTCCAGCCTAGGGCTGCAGACCCAGTGGGGCTCCCCCAGACAGCGGGAGCTCCAGAAATGACAGGAGGCATCTGTATCACTGATTCTGACTAGGGAAGAGGGTGAAACCTAACATATGTACTGACTGATACTTCCCTGTATTTTACTAAAATTATTAGGAGTTCTTGGGAATCAGGGAATCGTCCCAAGAAACAGCATTTAGAATGCATACTTAAAGCAGCTCTACGGGGTGAAAGAGCTCACACATCTGTTTTCTGCTGACCTGGAGAGAAGCTAAATGATAGTGGGGAAGGCGCTGGTGTAAGTGGTTGGGGAAGCAGCGTAGAACCAGCCTGTTTCCATGCAGATCTGGGCTCTGCTTCCTATGAGTGAGTTCCTGAACTCTGTAGGTTTCTTTCACTTTTCTCACACGTAAAATGGGGAAGAGATGAGGATAAATGAGTGATGAGATAGTGCTGGGAACATTGGCGTTAACAGTTGTTATTGTTAAATTGTCTTCTGAGACTCTGTTTAGCGGCCGGAATCCTGGTCCAGGTGAATGATCAGCCTTGAGGAGGTTAGTAAGGACAGGCCTTTGCTCTGCTGCCACGCACTCGCAGTCACCCTGATTTTATTTCTAGGCATAACCATAAAGCATGAGGACAAGAGAAATTCCAATCTATTCACTTTTCACAGAGAAGCCCTGTTTTGCAGATTTTGTAGGCAAACTTAGTGTGGCTTTAATTATAAATCACATGCATGGCACACTTCTGATGTAGTTATGTGAGATATCCAAGCAGACATCTCTGAAAATGAGATTTCACTGCTGCAAGGGAGAGACTCTGACAGTGTCTGTTTTGGCATTTGTTATGTCACGTCCAGATTTCAGGAAATGTCCCAGTGCTTTCTGTTATGTTTTTTGGGGTGAACTGGTCATGTTCCCGTTGTGATTAAGCAGTGCTCCAGTAGAGAGGAGCAGCACCAGGAAGACTGCAGCTGCTGGCTCCGCCCTTGATCCCATGATTGGGGACAGTGGAGGCACACGCCCCACCCCCAGCTCTGCCCCTTCACATTATGCCATGAGACTCTTTTAAGAACCCTCTAATCGGACACAGTTCTTAACACAAATCATGGTTTCCCCATGCCAACAAAACTTAATGAGAAAGTGAACAGCACACTTGCAAGAGGCACAGTGTTTAGGTGTTGTCCTGAAGTTCACCCATGCAGAGAGTGAGCTGTTACATCCCTGCTGTTCGTTCCACATGCTGGATGTGCAGGGAAGTACTCAGAAACAATATTCTATGTATGATTTTTTCACAATAAGGGTTCTCCCCGACATGATGCTATGAGGCACTATAAGTACTGAACTTACCCGACCATGAGGAATCCCTGGTACAAAGGGACAGACGCAAAGTAGAAGACTGAAGAAAACACAGCCTTAAATGAGAGAACACCAGGTGTTAAGAAACAAGCATTGCTTCACATTTACATCATTCTTTTTTTTTTTGTCTTTTTCATGACCGGTAAGGGGATCGCAACCCTTGGTGTGGTGTTGCCCGCACCGCGCTCAGCCAGTGAGTGCACCGGCCATTCCTATATAGGATCCGAACCTGCGGCGGGCGTGTCGCTGCGCTCCCAGTGCCGCACTCTCCGGAGTGCGCCACGGGGTCGGCCCCACATTTACATCATTCTGCACCCAGGCTTCTTAGAGCACCTTGTCATTAACATCTACTTAAAATACGACAACATCTAGTAAAACTGAGCAATCAGAACTCTCCTGTAAAACTTCCGTCATCTTTTCTAAACACTGTTGCCCCCGTGGGTGTGAACAACACAAGGTGTGGTACCTGCATAGTGGAGATGATAAGGCCCCGGTGCATCACAAACTGGCCCAGTGCGGCGGACCTCTTGTAGCTGCTCCGCCCGTGCACCACAAGCAGCCGGCCAACGTGTCGGAACTGTGTGAGAGAGAAGTCGGCCGCCAGTGAGGCCTGCTTCCCCTCCTGAAATGAAAACACAAGGCGCCTGTTTAAAATGACTGAACACACACAGGAATCACATGCTCTCAAAGCTGGGTTTTAAAACTCAGCTTTGAGACTGAAGGACTGAAACTCTCTCTCCACAGCTTTGAGAGCTTCAGCCAACTCAACGGGGACAGGTCCACATCAGCATATCCCACAGTCACAGGCAGAGCTTAGGCAGGAGGGCAGGCACCCACCACCTGTCCAAAGACATCTCAGTGTTCATGTCAAAAGGGGTTGCTTGCAAGTACTTTGGAAGAATTTGGCTTCAGCAGTCTATTGGCTTCACAGGAATTAAGTAAAGAGGGAGAACATGGCACTGGCCTTAGAGATCACCCTGGGATCTGGGTCCTCTTATATTAAAAAAAAAAATCTATCTCCCTGTTTCTCAAAGTTGTTGTAAAGTATCACAGAACAAAGTAGCTAAGGTAAAAGCCAAACGTGAGTCAGGTTAATTTTCCAGGCCTTTCTGTCTATGTGTTCATCCGAGTGATGGTGAGGAAAGAGATTGAGAACACAATGACGGCCTGCATGAAAGACAAACCTCAAACCACAGCCCAGTTGGCCAGGAGGTCCAGAAACCTAAACAGAGGATGTTGTACCTAAAACTGGAGAGAGAAGCTGAAGGTGCTATGGGAGGCCACAGAAAGGTCTGCCAGAATCTGACCTGAGCCTTACGGGCAGGTGACTAGACATGCATACGGCTCCAAGAACACCGAGGATGCTGAGGAGCTCCAGCGCTGACACACGTTAACATCACCTGCATTTCATAAAGATGAGAGCCCCAGCCACAGAGCACACAGCAGAACATGGGGACTTCCATCTACTCACTTTTTGCTGAAGTATGTGGCTCAGTGCCCAGCACAGACCAGGCTCACGAATACGTGCTGACTACATATGTGCTGACCAAGCATGTGTTGACTGACCATGTGTTGGATGAGCATGTTTTGAATGAGCATGTGTTGACTATGTGTTGACTGAGAATGTGTTGACTGAGAAAGTATTGACTGAGCATGTGTTGACTGAGTATGTGCTACCACGGTATGTAGAGATCAAATATGCACTATGTGTTGACTGACAATGTGTTGACTGACTATGTGTTGACTGAGCATGTGCTGACTGAGCAAGCACTGATTGAGTACTCATGGATCAAGTATGCACTGACTATGTGTTGACTGAGCATGTGTTGACTGAGTGCATGTTGACTGAGTATGCACAGACCGCATACATGTGATTAGGTGTTGAACATATGCGACGAGAGGACAAACCTACCTTTCCTTCAATCCCAATTCCACAGTCTGCTGCCTGAATCATGCTCACATCATTTCCTCCATCACCTGAGAAACACAAAAGTTGTGAAATAAAACACCTCTCCATCACGTTTTTCTTTTTTGGCACTACAGACTGTTTAAAAAATTTCCAGTAACGCAGATGAAATCAATCTGGCTGTAGAGCTGGAACACGATTTTGCCTGTAAATGTCAAGATATCAGTTCCTTTTAAAACGCTGCTGTGAACAAGGTGAGGCGGCATCTAACAGCTCACTGACAGGGGCTCTCGGTGCTGCAGCGCCCTGACCACCCTGGGAGGCTAGGGGCGGCGACAGGCTGGGGCTCACCGATGGCGCAGGTCCGCCTCCCTGTGTGCTGCTGCAGCAGCTTCACGATGTGGGCCTTTTGGGTGGGTGAGCAGCGGCAGCACACCACAGCAGGGCACTGGCAGGCCAGCTCCACAAACTCGTGCTCGTAGTATCTTAAACAGACCTGGAAGACAAAGTCTTGAGTGACTTCACCTTGTCGTCACCCACTCTATCCCAGATTTGTGTAATGTGGGAAGAGCAAACTGTGCGAGAAAAACCAGTAGCATTTCTCCAGTGTGGATGTGTTTCTATTTTCTGAGTCTGGCTTGTCCAACCAAGCCTTCTTCCTTATCTTGTGGCACAGCCTATCCAGGTGCTGGGGATCAAGGGTGAACCGACAGAGCTCACAGCTGTGCAGCAGGAGGCAGGGGTGAGGTGGGGGAGAGAGACCAGTGTGTTGAGGCCCCAGCAAACTGGGCTAGGAAAGCCTGCGTGGACAGGTAGCATGTGACAAGCAGAGAGCAGCTTGGGGAGGACCAGCTGCAGGAGAGGTGGCCATGAGAAGGACTGAGGGCTTCATATGAGTCTTGTTTCTGTGACTGAGCAGATCCAGGCTCTCCCCAAAAGTAATCAGTCTGTGCTCTTAGGATGGTTTCAACACCACCTTCCCAGGACTTGCCTGATAAAGATCTTTGTGTGATATGTAATGTCAAATACTCAAGGCCCTTGCCAAGAAGACAGTATCAATTCTTAATTGCCTACCTCGCTGACAAAGCCAAAATTCCCAAAGCACTGCCTGAAGGTTGTGGAGTCCATTCATTCTACCAGGTATTCTGAAATTCACCCCCATTGTGAAGGACAGGCAATCAGAAACCCAGGTTCTTAGGCTGTATGGTACCTATATCACCAACAGGCATACTGACATGCAGGAAACTGTTTCTCCCCAGCTGCTGGCTCGTTGCTAACATCACCCATGCCACACAGCCTGCCCCTTATGAGGGTAGGAAGTGCAAAATTTTCCTCTCTACTCAGCACCAGGAAAAGCTATAAACTGATGCTGGGCTGCTTTAGCCTGTCTCTCCAAGTGCAGACAGAGACTACAGCTGCCTGTTTTCTTCCCTTTCTCCCTTCTGTTGTCTGGGGCACAAGCTCACACAACGTCTGCAGACCTCCTCTGTAGCCTCACGGCACTCACTGTCACACAGTGTCTTTGCCCTGCCTGCATTTTATCTTCCTATGTCTGTTTACCTTTGCTTTGACTTCCTTATTTACATAATTTTCATTCTCATGTAATACATGTATTTTCACTCCCCTCGAATCCAGGCTGGCCTTGGTGACTTGCTTGACTAATATTATGTGACCAAAGTGACGCTGGGGGACAGCCACAGCTCTCGGTCATGAGTAGCTCATGGCTTCTGCCCGGACTTCTAGGAGTGCTTGCCTTGGGGACACAAGTCGGCATATAAGGTCTGAGATGCCCAAGCCCAAGAGCCCTGTGCACAGTCTGTGTGGAGAGAGAAGCGCCCACCAGCCCAGCCCCATGAGCTGGTCTCATGATGAGGACAGAGGCCCCTTTGGATGTCCCCCCACTGGCAGACGTGATGTGGACTGGAACAGTCAACAGCCAGATCCGAGGCCCTGGATGAGCTCTGGTGGAGCCTCCTCGGCCGTCTCCATCCAGCTGTTTCTTGCGGTACTTTAGGACCTTCACACACTCTAAAGTATACCAGGAATCTCCAAAAGATGGATATAATATGCAAGTTTCACTAATTTATTTCACTTGAGAAAGCCTCCCCTGTCCCCGCCACAGGTGGCTCTCTGGTGTTCCACAGGCACACGTGGGAATACTGGTTGGGAGCAGCTTAGATCAAGACTTCAAGGCTCCGTGAGCATGAGCCAGCACCCAGGGAGGCTCGGGATAAAACCACCCAGCCTCTGGAATACCAAGGGATAAACAACCACTGTGACAGGCCACGACTGCCTATCAGAGCTGCACAGCCACTGCTAAGACATAAAAACTGCCTAAGGATAGCAGAGATGGGCAGAAGTAGCCTGATAAATAACATTTGACTCAGGAAGACAATAGTCTACTGGCATTGACAGACAGACAGATACACACCTGATTAGGGACCAGCCTCACTTCCAAAAGGGGGATGGACAGACAGACATGTGCTAGGATGGGGACCAGCCCCACCTCAGAGAGGGGGATGGGCAGACAGACATGAGCTAGGATGGGGACCAGCCTTACCTCTAGAGAGTCCCCAGATATGACCAGTGCACAGTCGTGCTTCCTTCTAAAGGCATTGAGCTCCAAGTGGGCCTCTCCCCGACTGGTTACCTCCATTAAGGGAGAAAAAAGTATCCCCAATTAAAATGTTATCTAAATTAGAGGCACAGACAAGAAATTCTTTCAGAAATCTCAGAAAGATCCTTCAGACACATCAACTAAAGCCGACAGGTGCCTTACGTGTGAATCCCAGTAACAAGGTCTGTTCAGAGCCTCCTGCAGTGCTGGAGATGACCAACTACTCGCTCAACATGAATTGACAGCAGGAAACCCTGGCGTGAAATGCAGTGAGCACACACCTCACGAAGTTTACAGAAGAGGGGCCCGTGAACTGATAACTACCTCTGTACAGTTCAGGAGGGCAGCTGGCTTTTATAAATACCTTCCCTGAAGACATGACGATAAGTATTAAGACCCTCCTGGTACTGCCCGTGAAAACGATTCAGCGGAGTGGTGGGCAGGGTAGGCTGGTGTGGGTGAGCAGTGTTGTTGAGAATCACTGAATCATAACACCACGAATGCAGTTCTCAAGCATTTCAATACATCAGAAACCCAGAGCCCAAAGAAGGTGAGTTCCTCATTACCACGTACCAGGTAAGAGATGGAATGATCTTAAATCAAGGTTTTATTGAAAGACATCTCTTTTCATAATGTGCCAGTTGATGCAAAAACACTTTCCTAAAGGACTTCTGCTGCTCTGCTATAGGTGTCCACTCACTCCATTGGTTTCTGCTTAGTGTCTGAAGGACTAAACAGTCTAAAAGAGTAAAATTAAATACTAACCTTGAAATACCATTAATTTTAGAACAAAAACATTTTAGAAACCAAAGTACAGGTTTTTGACATTCTTTCTGTGGAGACTTTATAGGGCACAGAAGAAGTGATATTATTATAAGACTGAAATAAATTAAAAGCTTCATGTGGTTCAAATTAACAATCTCAGACTCATCTTTAAATAGGTAGATTTTATTGTGAAAAATTTAATTTGTGGTGCTATAACGTGGAAAAGCCAACAAAAATTGATCTGAAGTTTTATCAGAAGCATTAATAATTTAATTGCAAATAGTAGTCTGCAGGGCTTCATTTGCGATTCTGATGCTTCAAAACAAACTACATTTACATGTAAATTATATTCTAATAACGGCTTCTGAAGGTGCAAGTGCTTCATTTGGCACAGACACAGATGAGGGGTGTCTGTTCACCCACCATCCATCAAGGCCAGAGGATCGTTTATTTTTTGTTTGAAATAAGTGTAGTCGTAACTAATACATACAGTAAACACATAAATTCAGATTATTCCTATTAATCTCCTTTTGGCTAGTTAAGAAAGAGCTATCTAGTCTGAAAATGGCAGTAGACTAAAAACACATTCCTGCTGTGTATTTATTTAGAGCTTGTTTCACAAAAGCAGCTTCTGGACAACAGGTAATGTGCATAACTAACAGAAAAATGTAATTTTTAAAAATCAATTCACGTTTAAACAAATTGAATAGAAAATGACTGTGGTACGTATATTTAAAATAGAAAGTAGTAAATAATACCAATAGTACAACAGAAAAACACTTCTGAATTTAGAGCTTGTTTACCAAAAAGCAGCATTTTCATCACATTTAATGTACATAACTAAAAGAACGCTATTTTAACATGATTTTTTTTAATTGAGCAAGAAAACAATTACAATACTTCTTTTTAAAATATATTTTGTAATAAATAAAAAACTACATATACATTCTCACAAAAACAGCACATTTTAACTGTGAGATAAACATTTAAAAATTCAAAGTGATTCAGATATATACTTACTGGTCTGAAAATATGAATGTCTTGTGTTCTGGACACCAAGTGTGAACTCTTGGCAATGCAAGTAGCTGTCTCGAGCTTGTCTCCCGTTAGCATCCATATCTGTGGACAATGTGAACTGGTGAGTGTCAATAATACAGTTACACTCTCCTCTCTTCGAAGTGTCCACCCTTGAACAGCCATTTGTACACCATGGTGACAGCAGCATTATCCACTGTAGCCAACAGGTGGAAACAGCCCAAGTGTTCATCAACAGATGAATGGATAAACTAAACGTGGTATATATATAAGAAGTGTCTACTGACTTGCTTGGCTAAAATAAGTACGAGCAAAATGACGTTCAGACTCAGCAGCTGAGAGGTGGAGGCATATAACTGAGGACAGGGGGCTGGTCACTGCACAGCGGAATCAGGGAGAACACCCATCTGTGCCAAGATGCACATTTACAAAGCCTCCCACGGTGGGCCAGCAGAGCCGGGAGTACCACAGAGACCTCTATTTTACCCTGCTAGTTTTTCAGCTGGAAACTGAGGCTCAAATGGATAAACGATCCACAGTTATGCTAAAAGTTGCTTGTATCAAATAAATATCAGATACTATCACTTTTACATTAAAAAACATATACACGTGTGTTATACATGTGTGTATGTCCCTAAAGTATAAAGAGAGTAAAATATCAGGATATTTAATAAAAGAGATATTTTGCATGTATTTTATATAACAGCAAAAAATTCCTAGTAATATACTCATTATGGTCAGAATGTCTCAGATTTTTTATGTGTCATATAAAAATATGCATTAAAAGTAGAAACAGAAAAAAACTTATGTGGTATACTGATTATGTGCTTAGGTGTCACCTACCTGTGGCTCTTCTCAACGTCTGAGGATTTGTGCTTTATATTTATTTTACATATTTATATCATTATGACAAAGGTGAACAGTAACTACCACTGCTGAGCAACCTGTATGCAAGTTAGGAAGAGTACATCAGATCTGGTTTAAATATGACCTTCATTTCAGAAGAATATCTGAAATCAGATTTTATATTACGTAGAGATAAAAAGAACCTGATACTTTGGACATTAAATGTAAGGAATAAAGAGCAGACTCCAGAAAGTCTCACATAGCTTTGCAAAGAATTAATATAAATACCCAAATCTTTATACAAGAAACATCCACTACTCTGATACATTGATGACCAGCATGTATAATTAAGAAATAGACTGGTTTGAGGCCTACTAAAAATTACAATAGAAGGAACAGGTCATCTGCTTTTAGTTCACATTTCTGCATCCCATTTTTTGGCCGTACGATATAATCAAGCTCTGGTGCCGTGGACATTTGGGTCTGAAATGCTAGCTCCTAATTCCGAACTCTTATGTGAACAGTGACTCAGAAATCAGCTGCAGCCTCAACACTCTCCAGGGCTGTCGAGAACCGACAGGAAACCTTTCCAGCGTCTCTGCCAATGCAGACTCCTGCAGCACAAGAACAACAGACCCTCAACCCGGAACCGTGGCCTTGCCAGGGGCCCAGGCCTCTTTCTGGGGCACGGGCAAGGCTCGAACCGCAGCCAGCACAGCTCTGCCTTGGTGCATCTTCCTTCAGTAGCGACAGTTTTCTCCATTTTCAAAAGCAGAGCCCCAAATCCTGCAGGGAACACTAAATCAACTTCTCAACCCTTCTGTGGAGAACACACGAGGCAGGAATTGTGTCTTGGGAACTCAACCTCTTGGCACAATCTGCTGATGGGACCCCGCATGGGACGAGGACGGCGGCGAGCAGGAGCGTCCTGGGCTTTCCAGAATGGCCACGAGCTCAGCCGGCAGCGGGGCAGGATGGCACGGCCACCATGCGGTGGCATACGGCAGACGGGACAGGCGCTGATGCAGCGAGGCTGTCCTGCCGAGGATGCGGAAGGGATGCAGCAATGCGCTGGCTACACACGCTGCAGAAAGGAGCCGGGGGCGGCTCTGCCCGCAGAGGGCCTGCGCAGCGACCCCCGAGGACACGCACCTTGACACCCGCGTTGCGCAGCAGCTCCAGCGTGGGCCGCACGTCGGCCTGCAGCTGGTCCTCCACCCCAGTGAGGCACAGTAGCTCCATCTCCCGCTCCAGACTCTCCACCACTGCGGCCACCTTGAGCGCCCTGTCGTGCAGACTCAGCTTGGCTTGACTGTACCGGCTCTGGGAAGAGAGAGGGAGACGCGTGTGCATGGGCACTGAGCGTGTGTCCTGCGCGGTACTCAGCTCAGCTGTGTCGTGACCACTTGGGGCCTGTCACGCACAGGAAGATTCACAGCTGTAAAGAGAGGACAATGCTCCTGCTCATGTGGCGCCCTTTCCTAGCAGACTGCAGAGGAGGGTGCACACACTCCTGAGTGCCCGGGCAAAGCGCCCCTGCTCCCACCCTGTGGGCCCTGATCTCACAGTCTCACACACGCGATAATTATGAACTTCAAGAGGAGAAAAGTGTCTGATGAGGGAAGAGACGTCTGTGAATAATGGGATGACTGGAGGTTGGCTCACCTCAAAGTCCTGGTACTGCTCTTCTGTGAGCATCCTCTTTGCCACCACGAGGGTCCGCAGCCCTTCACGCGCCATGTTTCCACACTGAAAGGAGGGGACGAATCACAGGGGGCCCCGCAGAGCCTCCTGACCGCAGCAGTGATGGGGTATCAGGGCACTGGCCAGCACCTCTCTCTGTGGTGATCACTGTTCCGTGCTCATTTATCCCGCTAACTTCGCGGAGTGTGTGCTACCTCCAAGCTTTATGACAGCAGGCGGGGCCTCACATGGCATGTAATAGGCAGGACCATGGTAAAACCTGGTGGCTGGATCTGAAGACTGTTTCTGCCACATGCTAGCTCTGTGTATTTGGGCAAAGTAATTATTCATCTGTGTCTCGCTTTCCTCATCAGCTGCCATGGGCTGAGTGTAGGGTTTTCTGGGACTCTGGCAATCTGCATAAAGTCCTGTGCCCCAACATATGGCAGACAGTTAGTGCCACATGTGTTAGCTTGTTGCTCTCTTTTTCACTTGTAATCACCTGGCCCTGCTTGCAGGATGACCGCATGGGGCAAATGCAGTTAGTGGACAGGATAGGAGTGGAGGACTGGGCAGTGGAGAGAGCCAAGGCCCGGGACACAGGCCAGACCCCAAAGCTCCTTGTGTCTCCTTTTGCGATTCAGGTCTTTTGGGTCAGGGAAAGGGAAGCCCCAGAGGAGTCACGTTACAACAAGAAATGGAAAAGCATTCAACAGTCCTCTGAAAAGACGTTAACTCCATTCATAGTCAGAAAATGCATCAAAATAATAAAATACTATTTTCTCCCTTTTAGAGGCAAAAATTCAATGGTTTTAGCTGGTGACAGGGTGAAGAGGCAGGCTGTGCAGTCCAAAGCCAGTGGTTGGTGCTAGCACAAACTGGCTTAAAAGTCACTGGCCACTTCTCTCAAAATTTAAACTGCACAGACCAGCAACACATACCCTACTGTTAGAAATTTAGCCTGTACCTGCAAAAGTATACCATGATGTCTATTCAAGGTGGATGTTTGCCCTATTATTTAAGTGGACAGGGCTCAGTTTTCAAAAGACTTGCAGCGGCACATTCATCCTAGGTTTTCACACAGCAGACCTGTAGGGTCCAGCAGAAAGCATGAGGTGGATTGCACTAGCCAACCCTGGGGCCTTGGGCCCCTTTGTGTGCCTTCTGCTCATGTGCATCCCTCCTGGGGCGCAGGGATGTGAAAGATGGCCAGAAGGGTCGAGTCCGGAGGGGCTGCTGCCCATGTGTGAGAGCATGTGCTCCTGAAACATGGGATGCCATCCTGCCTGGTAAGGAATTGCCTTACCCAACGTCACCCACTCTCCTCCTGGGCACATGGGGTGACTGAGGCACAGGGAGGCAGGAGGCACAGTGATAGAACTTGTGGGGGCCAGACATGTCCGCAACAGGCCACCAGGGGACCCCTCCTCAGGGAGGTGTTGGAGCCCCGTGCCAGTAAACCTGGGTATGCAAGGTTGTGACTGGCAGGAAAAGGAGAGCATGGTTCCCTGTGAAGTCTCCCTGCAGCCCTCTGGGCGCCATGTACAAGGCACGGCAGCACACGTGCCAGCTCTGCAGGCAGCTAGGGAAAGTGATGGCGAGGACCGTGATGTGGGTGTCTGGCCTCCTAGTGACACACAAAAATCCTGCACTGCCTGGGAAAGCACGCCTTTGTATATACATCATGTCCCCCATGGCCAAGGGTAGAAACCTTGTCATCCTGCCATCTCTTTAGGGCAAAAGTCAGCCCTCTGTGTGGGATATCCATCTCTAGTAAAGACAACTTGCTACATTTTGTGATAAAAGTTAACCTGGGTACAAATAAAAATGATTAAACTATTTGGATATTTTGAAAATTCCTTTTAATCATCTGGCTTATTGGATCTCATGCCTGTTGCTGACTCTGGAGGCTGCAGGGCTAGCAGGCAGAGCTGGAGGAAACCTGGGTCCAACACCCATCCCTGCATACCACTAGTAGTGTCTGCTCTGGTCTCCCCATTTAGGAAACCAGACAGTGACACTGCAGGATCAAAGATTACAAGAGACAGGGAGGTGACAGTCTCTGTGGTCCTGTTATACCTTCTTGTGTTTCCCAGTTGTAACCACTGACTGCCTTTATAATTCTACGTCTAGGGTCTAATTCAAGTTTGTGTTTAGAGGGAGGGAAGCCAATCTTCTCAAAGCCTCGACTTACCCTTAAGTGTTCTGCCAACTTAAATATTCTCACATTTTAGGTTTTAAAAAATCGGCCCTTCCTGTTATAGGATCAGTGAAAAGTATATTTTGTTAAACATTTAGAGAGCACAAGGTAATGGCTAAGAATCCAATTCAGGGGAATTTGCTTGAAACAGAATTACTCGGGACAAACTCAGGCTCTCAGAACCTGCTGTTCTGTCTTTTAAATAAAGTGAAAGGCTTTTAGACTATAATAATATTGCAACACAGATATTGGCAAAGGGTCAAAAGATTTATCTATCAAAAGAAAATACAATGTTGAGAAAATAAATGCTCACAGGATTTTTAATAAAGTTATCTTTGTGAAAAACAATCTGACATTATCTGTGGCAAGACATTTATTGATTTGACCTCATAAAGCTAAATAAATTAAACAAGTATTTTACAATTAATTGCACGTCATTATGACCAAAAGTAATTTTTATGGCATTCTACTAGGTCTTCAGGGAGTTTAATTTATTCATGTCCCAGATTAAATCAAAGTGCCCTGAAGGAGATATTGATTCATATTGCCAGTACCACCATGAACATTGGGGGAGTGGTCGCTGTACTGACAGATCATCTCTGAGGTAGAAGGGTAGGGTGAGAGAGATTTGAACACCAATAGTAACATGCGCTCAGTAAAAAGGGTCATGTCTACGATTATAATGGTTTTAGTTTTATTCTGAAATCCAACTATTAATAATTGAACTTAACAATAAATAATATAACCTCATGAGACTAACTACAAATCATATTTATTTAGGAAAGATTTAATGAAATATAGAATTCTTTATTATTTATACCTTATTTTCTATTTTTTAAGTGAATCCTACATGTGAATTAGCATTAGATCAAAATTCTAACGAAAATCACTTTGCAAATAATTAGATTACAAAATAAATATCATTAAAATACAACTTTGGTTATATATACAATATTATTTAGAATTCTTTAGTGAATGATTAATAATGCTTTTAATTTTTTTACTATCATAAATAAAATATTTTTCTTAAGAACCTACTTGTACATATCTACATGCATGCATACACAAAACAAAAATAAGTTATTTTCATAGAAAGTAAACTATTTAGGGCTGGCCCGGTGGCGCACTGGATAGTGCGCCGCTTGGGAAGCGCGGCGGCGCTCCCGTCCGAGGGTTCGGATCCCAC